GCGCGCTCCCGCCCCTCCCACCTTTGACAGTTTTACTGTGGGGCGGGGGGGAAAGGGGGCGAACTCTCGCGGTATTCCTTCCGCCGCTCCGCGACGGGGAGGGGGCGAGCCGGGGTTGGGGGGTTCAGAGTGGGGTGCCGAGAGCGGGGGGTGCAGGGGGGAGTGCAGAGGAGGGGTGCGGGGGGTGCAGAGAGGGGTAGGGGGCCCGCGGGCCGGCCCGCTCTGCCTTGCTCGGGGCCAGTCGCTGATCCACAAGGCCGGGCCTCGGGTGCAAAGTGGTCAGCTAGTCATACTACTGATAGGGCGGGAGGCGTTTTGCGGGCAGTGGCGTAAACTGAGGCACGACAGGGGCTCTGGGTGCTGCCCCAAGCCCGGTGCCTACGGATTGAGGTGAGCAGATGCCTCCCACGTTGTGGGCTCGGGGAGGGTGGTGCAGTGGAGGCTACCGTACTCAGGACCCTGACCTGACCCACAGGGGCCTTGGCAGAGGGGCCAAGAGAGCAGGACCAGGCCTGTGCTCGACCACCTCTGACTCTGGCCACTATCAAAGGTGGGCTGGCAGTGTCCTGGCCTGCTTAAGGCCATGGGGCTTTACTGGGGTCACTACCTTTGGACCAGCCTCCCGCCCACCTAGGCAAGCAGTCAGTCCCTAGCTCTACTCTTTCCGAAACAAGCGACCTCTGCAGAGAATGCTGTGTGGGGTCTGGGGATGAAACTCAGGGCCCCCTGGGAGCTGGCTGGGGAGGAGGAGGACCACCCTGTGGGCACCACAGGAAGCAGGGGTTGGGGGGGAGCAGGGGAACCTCCCCCTGGAGGACTATTCTTACTTGCTCTCAGAGGCCACCTGGGAGTAGGGCGCCTGTGGCTGAGAGGGAAGAAAGTGAGACTCTGGGTTTTCATTTTGTGCTCCTTAATACCGTTGAAGCCTTTGTTTTTGTTTTTTAAATGGGTGCATCTATTACTTTTACAATTAAAACTGAGTTGTTGTTGTTCTTAATGCCCCTTTTTACCTTCTGCAAGTATTTTGGACTCCTCCAATTGGTAGTCGCTCTTTGGGAAACAGGTGGCAAGGTGCACTTCCTCTCTGCAGCCCCGCCCCCTCCCCACTCACCTGGAGCAGGTGCTCACTCCCGGTGGCAGGCAGAGAAGCCCTGGCAGAAGTGGCACAAGCCTCTTCTCAGAGGAGCCCTTCAGACACCCTTCTCTCAGGCCACACAGCTCTCAAGCCTGAGCAGGCTAGAGGGAAGCAGAGGCGAGGAGGGGGCAGAGTCAGCCCTTCCCTCCTTCCCTTGGAAATCTGGGGCCAGGGGGAGAGGCCAGTGTGTACGACTTGTGCAGACCCCAGGGACAGTCGTGTGTTTGAGAGTTGGGTCAGTGGATGTCCCCCGAGGGGCATGCAGGTTGTCAGCTTTTGCTGTGTGTCCCTGTATCTGACATGTGTTGGTGTCTGAGTCTGTAGGGGGTGTGTGTCCACCACCTGTCACCGTGTGTCTGTCTCACGGTACGTGTCCTAAAGTGTCCATTTGGGAATGTCTGTGTGTCCCGTACTAGGGGAGAACGATGTCTGTCTGTTAGTAGCCAGGTGGCTGGAGGCCAGAGTGTGTGTTTGTGTGTGTCTGTGTCCATGTGTGCAATAGGTCAGATTCCCAGCATATCTGTGTCCAGGCTGTGGTGTGTGTGTCTGGATGTCTTGGTGCCTGGGAGTGTGTGTTAGCATACATGTGTGTGTATGTTCAAGTACGTGTGTCCAGGCTGTGGCTTGTTGGATGTCGGGCTGGTTTCTGTGTGTTAACACTATCAGGGCACCATGTGTGGGGGGAGGGGCTGTTTATCTGTGTGTGTCTAGATGTCAGGGTTGTGAAATTTGTGTTTGTATCGGAAGCGTGCTGCTCTGTTTCTGAATGTCACTGTGTGTCCGTGTGTTAGTATTTGCGTGTCTGGGTGACGATGTCTGCGTTGGTAGGCTGTGCTTGTATTTCTGCGTGTGTCAGTGTCTGTGTGCCCCCGTGCTGGGTGTGCCGTGCGGGCTGTGGTGTCTCTGTGGCAGTATCCGTGTGCCCAGACTGCAGCGTGTGGGCCTGTATGCCTCAGTGTTGCCATTCGTGTGGTGTCTGGCTCCTGTGTTCGGGGATGTGGTGTGACTCGTGCTGCTTCTGTCAGGGTGCTGCCCTGTGTGGAAGGCTGGAAAACGGCACCCAAAAGATATCTACATCAAATCCCTGGGACCTGTGAACGTGCCCTTATTTGGAAGAAGGGCCTTTGCAACTGTGATTAAGTAAAGGCTCTTGAGATGAGGAGATCATCCTGGATTATCTGGGTGGGTCCTAAATCCAGCACAACTGTCCTTATAAGACAGAGAAGAGGGAGATTTGAGACAGAGAAGAGGAGACACGGGAGCAGGCCACATGAGGCAGAGAGGGCCTGACATGTCTACCAGGACCGCCAGAGCCACATGAGCCCGGAGAGGCCAGGAAGCTTCTCCCTCGGATTCTGCCTCCAGAGCTGCGAGAGAATAAACTGCTGTTGTTTCAGGTGTCAGCGTGGTTATTTGCGTGGTAACCCCAGGGAGTCCATGCTGCTGTCTGGGCTGCTGCATCCTCAGACTCCAGCCACCTCTGGTGGGTCCAGGCCGGGGGAGTTGCTGGGCCTGGAGCCATCCCTCAGCCTCCAAGGACACGGCCCCGTTGACGGATGTGATGCTGCTGCCCCCTGGTGGCCGTGGCTGGAGGCTGCTGGGCAGGCCCCCTTGGAGATGGTGCACACAGGACCACTTGAGAACCAGGTTTATTTCTGATTTTTTGTCAGAATATAAAAAAATGAGCACAGAACAAGGGAGATGAGACAGGAGCACATGGTGAGGGCATGACAAAGAAGAAGGGAACGGAGACAGGAGGGCCCTTGGGACAGGACGAGGGGCTCCCCATGGCAGAGACACAGCAGGGTGGGGGCGCTCGGGGCCTGGATGACCAGCCTCTCATCCCAAGGCCAGCTCAGGGCACACGGGAGGGGGCTTGAGGGCTCAGCCTCATCGTCCCTGAGATTTTCAGAGTTCCCGAGGGGTGTGGGAGAGGGCAGGGGAGCAGGGGGTG